ACATGTAGTGCCTATATATAAGTAATATCAAAGCAATTGGACTTGCGGTTTTTAACAAGAAGTCGAAAATATCACTTTTTACCAAAAATGACAAAAATATTCACCAAAATTAGAGAGTTGAAGATATCATCACGAAATGAACAAATCTGAGAGAGGTCTACCCAAGGTACATATACACCAACTATCAAAGCATTCAGGCTTGTAGTTTTCAAGAAGAAGTCGAAAAAGTCAAACATTGACACGGACGACGCCGGACAATCACTCATATGATAAGCTCCGCTCGACAAAGTTGACAGCGGAGCTAAAAAGGGCACTCAAATGAAAAAAAAAATGTGCGACCTTTCAACTCCAGCAAACAAGGCGATGACCTCAAATCATGCATATTTCACACTCCATGTTTCCGGTCTTTTCCAAGAGAACACTACAAGTGTATTGACAATGTAGGACAAGGGCACTGAAAATTAATGAGCGAATTTTTGTTACTTTGAAAACCAATAGGCATGGCAAACAATTCAAGGGATATACAGTGTACCCAACTGGTATAGCCAGTGTAAGTGACCTTGCCTTTATTGTGAATAACATATTGTTAAATTTTTAATATTCAGATACCTTTAGTCATATTTATGAGCTGGTTATATATATTTATCAATATAAAAATAGCAAAAAACAGCCAATATTTTTCTAGTATTTATTTGAATATACATATATAAATATTTGGAAAGCATTTATATAATGGTTTGGTACTCAGTCTGCAAATTATTGTCCCTATTTTGCAGCGAGTTTTTGTTTTTATTGTAATTATTTTGTCTTTTCATAATCCTTAAATATAGGGTGAAGTAACCTCCTCCGTGGTTACCCACACTGAAGTACTACACACAATAAAATGTGATTTATCATCCAAAAACACTTAGGCAGTGAAAATCATGATTTATTATCCCAGTCATGAAACTGACAAGAAATGTCTGAGGACTTTAAAAATTGAAACTATTCCTAAAATCTTAAAATCATTGGCCCTAGCAAAGACAGTTAAACATGGCTTCTATTGATGGATGGTAGGGTAATGTAACTACGAAAATACAACTAAAAAGCTTGTTTTATGTGACAAAACAGCAGATGTTTGTGTACGACTTTTATTTGTTAAATTATGTGTAAGTATTAAACGTTTATTAAATTTATTAAATTTGTGCATGAAAGCTATTATACTTGTTCAAATACTGTGTTTGATAAATATGAAGTTATATTCACACTATGAGAAACATCACTTTGAGAACAAGCTAAAACATAAAATATACAAAAAAAAAAATATGAAGTAAACTCAAAAATTTCATTTGATGTAAAAATACAACTTTATGACCACTGCCAGATCATGCAGCAAAATTCAAATGATTTGATTTTGAACTTGAAATTCTCTTTTTTTACAGTCAATGTTGAAATTCTCATTTTTTCAGAGAGGAATATGACGTTGACGTATCTTTACTTCAACAAAACTGACCGTTATCAATGTACTGTAAAATGACTAATTTTCACTGGGTTTAAATTCTGCTGATTTACCATTTCAGGCATATTCAG